TTCTACTCCCGTAAGGATTTACACCCTCGGAAACCCTGTACAGGGTCGCTCTGGGTCGGACCCGACTCGACGGCACTTAACAACAACAACAACAAAGGGAATGGCAGGTGGTATTCACATTTCCCAGTCAGTGTAGCACTCACATACACCATTCTTATAATGAAAACTGAAAGAAAATAGTAGGAATAAAACTTCATGTATTTTTTTCTTTTTTTAAAAGACTGGGTAGCTGAAAGTCTGAAAAAATAGAATGTATAAAGCAGATCAGAATGTAGCTACTTTTTATCTACTGGGTTTTGCCCTATATCAAATTACTCTCCACCTCCTTCCCTTTCATTCCCTTGGGACATATTCTTATTCTGCTTAAGTCCTGACCTAAGTAATTTCAAGCATTAGCTCAAGTGTTTCCTTATGTGACAGGAAGCTTCTACGATGTCCCCAGTGGTCCCCTACTGCTGGTATCTGTGGCCTTGTACAATCCCTTCCCCTGATTGTGACTTGGATTTGTTGTTTGAGTGCCGTTGAGTCACTTCTGAATCATAGCAACACTGTGTAAGGTTTCAAGGAGTGGCTGGTGGGTTTGAACTACCAACTTTGTGGTTAGTAGTCCAGTGCCTATCCTACAGTGCCACACCAGGACTCCTTATAACTAATAAAAGCTATCAAAAGTGAGATGCCACTTCTACAATTAGATCATAAAAACTGTCAGTACTATCTTGCTTCCCTTCCTTGTCCTCACTGATGAAGCCCGCTGCCATCTTGTGAGCTGCCTGTCCTATGGAGAAATCCATCTGATAAGTATTTGAGGGTGCCCTCCAGCCAACCACTAGTAACGAGCTCAGCCTAATAGCCAGTGAAGAACTGAAACCTTTCCAGTGTCTTGAGATGCCTACAATCCCCATGTCACCCATAAGACCCCCGAGCCAGAGGACCCATTTCAGCCATACTCAAATGCTGGACCCACAGAAACCATGAAATAAGAAACAGTGTTGTAACAAGCCACTGAGTTCTGGGAGTAATTTGTGATAGTATTATGTACCCTATTTTTAATCTATCATCTATCATCTGGAGTAAGTCATTATTGGTGCTTATTAACATGTTACAAGAAAACATCTACTTAATATAGTTTGATATAACTTCATCTAATTGTCTAATGTGTGTTGTTGAGTGTCATTGATTCGGTTCCAACTCATAGTGATCATGTATAGGGTTTTCCAAGGAGCAGCTGGTGAGTTTGAACCACTGATCTTGCAGTTCACACCAACCTTGAGGTTGAGGGCCTATCCTCTGGAATGTCTATTGAGTGCCTACCAAAAGCAAAGTACCATGGTAGTCATGAACACTTGTAGTCATGAACACTTCTAGCATTTTCCTTGCTTCATAAAGTCTCTATAGTAAACCTTTCTTCCCTTTCTTTTCATTCCTTCCCCCTTCCACTTGTTTTAGTGATTTAAGTGGCAGGAAGTCATGGTTAGCTCACAAGTGCCTGCTCAACTACTGAACAAAATAAAGATACAACATCACAAAGTGAAATCTGACTGCATGTAAAATTAACAATGCTCCCAAGGTCGTGAAGAGCTGCTCTCCTAGATGCTGAGCACCCCACCCCATTATGCTGGCTGTTACTCCTGTTACCTGCTTTGATTGATGAAGTCACTGAGCACCGTCTTCATTTTCTCTTCTGGAGCCTCCTCTGAAACCTTGATCAGCTCTCTTACTTCTTCTATACCTTCTTCCTGAAAACAAACCACAGCGGAGGAGGGATAAGGCGTGGGAGTCACACACCGCAATAGAGATCTGGATTATAACATCCCAGGTATAGTATGTGGCTGATTTGCTTGCTTCCAAGATGGGGGAAGATAGCTCTCATTTTTTTTGTACCTGGACTAAGAAATGCTACTTATACTATGCTTCCAACATTAAAGAACTCCAACGTTGAACCTTTCTTTTCCTAACTGAAATTGATTCAGAAACAAGACTTTTCCGGTATGGATCAGAATTCATTGTTTCTGTCACTGATCCTTTTCCCAACAGGGCATCATTTATTTAGTCTACCCTGTGGGAAAACCGAATTCCAAAGAATATTTAGTAGATTAAATTGGGAGTTGTGGTATGGCATTGTAGGGTAAGCCCTGAACTGCTAACCTCAAGGTCAATGGTTTAAACCCACCAGCTACTCTTCAAAAACCCTATATAGGGTCACTGTGAGTTGGAACCAACTCGATGGCACTTAACAACAACAACAACAACACTGGGGTCTTAGTGTGGCACTGTAGGATAAGCACTGGACTGCAAGGTCGATTTGAACTGCATCATCAGTGGTTCAAGCTCACCAGTCACTCCTTGGAAACCCTAGACAGGGTCACTATGAGTTGGAACCTACTGGATGGCACTTAACAACAAACAACATAAACCAAGATAGGTTACCACATTTTAAAAACTTTACAAAAGACTGAGCAGTAACATTTGGGGGCATAAAATTAAAAATGTATTCAAAAGGTAAATGGTAAAGATTATTAATGCAATTTCTGAAGAAATATAAATGGTCCAAACTTTGAGAAAATAAGGTACTGTCCTCATTTGTCATAACTATCAGTCAGACAGAGGTTAAAATCTGATATTCAAGATTGGTTAAGATGTGGTAACATGGTCACTCGCCTATACTATTGTAGGAGAGTGTAACTCGTAACAATGACAACACCAACAACGTCCTGGTGTGGCACTGTGGGTTAGTGCACTGGATTGCAAGTTCGGATTGAACCGCAAAGTCAGCAGTTCAAGCGCACCAGCTCCTCCTTGGTCATCCTATACATATACTCTATGGCACTTAACAACAACAGTAATCAAAATCTAAATGTGTAAGAAGAGGTTGGGCCAGAGGAGGAGTGGAGACAGAGAGGAAATGGGACTCGATGTCAATAAGAGGACTGCAATCATTGAGAGAAAACGATGTAGTCTAAGATTTGTTGACTCTAAAACTGATGATCTGCTCTCTAAACTTTCACTCGGTTCACAATAAAAAGTTTTTAAAAACGAACAAGGGGAGCTTCAAAAACTTTATGGAAAAATGTAATGAAAACACAATGGAATTTTTCCACAAACTTTTCGAAGCCCCCTTGTATATACAATTTGACTCAAAGATTACACTAGAATTCTACCCTTCAAAAATAAATGAACAATTTTGCAGGAACATCTTTATGTAGTAATGTTTAGCACAGCATTGTTTACAATAGCAAAGTACATAGAAACAACTTAAGCATCATTGTTGCTGTTAAGTGCTGTCGAGTCAGTTCTGACCCATAGCGACGCTGTATAGGGTTTCCGAGGAGCAGCTGGTATGCTTGAACCGCCAACCTTGTGGATCAAACCAACTTTGCAGTCCAGCCTATTATCCCACAGCACCACATCAGGACTCATAAACATCATTAGGTTAAGAGTTCAGCGCCACACCAGTGCTCTTTTCCCATAGAGGGAGGGATAATGTATTTTATCATTAAAAGTGGAGTAAAGGTTTCCATTCATTCTCAGATTTTCGGAACCAGTTAAGCCTGCTGGGCAGCCTCCTCCTCTCTACATGTCCTGTCCTTGTGGGGAAGGAGGGAAGCCCTGAAGTCCAGCTGCTCAACCATGAATGGGGGGAGGGATGCAGAAAGCCCACCTTAGGTTCCAGCTGTTTTCTCAAATCCAGGTTTATCAAATAAAAAACATTTTGATTACTGTCTGACCCTTGATGATGGTGGTGGTTATGTGCCGTGGAGTCAGTTCTGACTCACAGCAACCCCTTATAGGGTTTCCAAAGCTATAAATCTTTACAGAAGCAGAAAACCTCATCTTTCTCCTGTGGAACATCTGGTAGTTTCAAATTGCTGACCTTGAGGTTAGCAGCCTAACTCGTAACCACTACGCTCCTTGTCTGACCCTTAGGAATACCTTATTCAGTTAGTTGTACCCTTGAAGGAAAAGGTATTGGGCTAGTAATTTATGGACAAACCATTATAAAGCATATAAGGTTTTAAGGATGCTTAAAGGGAATGGCAAGGAGCTCTGGTAGCGTAGTGGTTACGAATCGGGCTGCGAACCTTAAGGTCAGCAGTTCGAAACTACCAGCCGCTCCGCGGGAGAAAGAT